CCCACGTGATCAGCACAGCCAGGGCTAGGCAAGGCCAAGGCTAGGAATCAGTAATTCCATCTTGGTCTCAAGTACTTGGAGCAGTGTCTGCTGCCTCCAACGTGTATTAGCACGAAGCTGGATAGGAAGCAGTGTAGCTGGGACTTGAACCAGTCACTCCGATATGGAATGTGGGCATCCCAAACAGCAGCTTAACCTGTTGTACTACAACATCCATCTTGGCTATTACATTTACTCATTGCAAACATTATTATTTCATTTTGGGAGAGGAGAACAGGACAGCTAGGCGAGTTTAAACAGTACAGCGAAGGTCCCACTGGCAATAGTGCAGCCAGGTTCCAAACCAGGCTGACTGTATAACAAATGATTTCTTGACTCTGTGCTGCTGATTCTCCCAGCAGGCAAGTATACAGAAGAAGGAAATGATGGACATTTGCTGGAGAAATGAGAAATGGGTATGGCCGACTCAGTGTGTAGAGGAAGTGTGAGAGGTCACCTGTAGACAGCAATGAAGCTTGCTATCTTCCCTCTGCATTTCCCATTCTACCTCAGAGCCATTGTATTCTAGCTGGACTTAAGCAATTTCTCTATCCTGTATTCAAAAATTTGGTACCATAGTATTTCTCTAAAATAAACAGTGATTCTTAACCTTGGGACACTCATGGACTCTGTGAACTATTTCCTAAGGAAAATGTATATAGGCACATAGAACTAATGGATACCTCCCTCCCTCTTTAAAATCATTCTGGTTCGTCCCTCCGCTCCCACCATTAAGGTCAAGAAATGGCTATTGATCTGATTGAACAAATTGCCCTGCATTTCTACACCACAGACAACCTGAATATTGTTGAACCTGTAGGCCATCAGTTTTTCCATGTCTTGGTCTGTCCGTATTGTATAATGACAAATCTTTTATTGAAAGGTCATAAAAATATTGTTATCTACTTAACACCAAATATCTGGCTGTGTGCTATTAACAGTTTCTGCTTTGTTCATTGTTGAATCCCTAAAGGCTAGGATACTACTTGGTACAATTCAAAGTATAATTTATGTTTCTTTTTTTTGTTCAATATATGTTTCTGAGAATTATGGGTAAAAATGTTTGCAAATTAGTTATGAAATGTAATAGGACAATTTATTCTTAAAGGGAATTTGTCTATAATTTCTCCATTATTTGAATTTCACTGTGATTTTTGGCATATAAACATTAGCAAGAGAGTTTCCTTCTAATCCTAATATTCTGAAAGTTATTTTTCTTAAATTATACATAGATGTTGGATTTTATCAAATATTTAGAAATTGATTGTGGTAATTTCTTAGTTTTTCTCCTACAGTTTATCATTATGGTGAATTATATTACCAGGTTTTTCTGAGAATAAATCATCTTTGTATTCCTGGAATAAATAATACATATTATGATATTATTACATATATTCATTATATATTTATTATATATTATATAATATTTATTATGAACAATCATATTTAATAATTTATAAATAATATAAATATTATACAATAATAATGATATATAATATATATGATATATAATATAATCATTATTTTGTGATATATTATTTTTTCAGATGGTACAAAATTCATTAAACTCATATTTCATTTAGAATTTTTAAATCTATAGTCACAAGTTAAATGGTCTACTGTTTTCTTATATCAACCTCATCTAGTTTTAGGGTAAAAATGACATCAACTTTATTTGCAAGCTTCCTGTGAATTTTTTGTTTTAACTATACAACATATTGTTGGACTTTTAAAAAAATTTCCATTCAATCCAATCTCTATCTTTTCATTGGTGAGTTTAATCTTTTTATAATTATTATAGTTATATACTATTAGAACTTATCTTGTTATCTTATTTCAGTTTCCCACTCACTTTTTTTATACACAGCTTCTTGTTTTCCATGGAAAGATCCAGTTTTCTCCAATCATTTAAAAATTAAACATTTTATTTCTGTTTTTATAGTAAGAACAAAATGGCAGTTGCCTCTTATCTCATATCCATACTTATATTTATTTTCTCCAGTGATTTCTTCAATTCTTGATAGCCATATAGGTTGAGAATCTCAAATCTGAAAATCCAAAATTCTAAATCCTCCCAAATCCAAAACTTTTAAGTGCCAATACGATGCCATAAGTGGAAAATTCCATTCCACGCTTGCTCTCTTGAGATAGGTTATAGTTAAAATGAGGGTGCACTAAAAGTATTATGTAAAGTTACCTTCAAGCTATGTGTGTCAGGTTTACATGGAGCATTAGCGAACTTTGTATTTAGACCCCATCCCCATGATATCTCAGGATGTATGTATATTACACAACCTGAAATCCAAAACACTTCTGGTTCCAAGCATTCTAGATAAAAGATATTTAATCTGTATTTTCTCCTTTATGAAGTGAAGTTTTTTTCTGAATTTAAAATTACAGGCCCAGTGTTGTTTTTCTTCAATATTTTAAAAATATTCCTTCATTGTATGTTTGCATCTAGTTTTGCTGTGAAGTATATTGACACTATGATTCTTGTTCATTACTTGTGAACATACTGTTTTGTCTCAGTAAGCCTCTAGAATTTTCTCTTGGTATTGGTTGTCTTAAGATGTCCTGTCATCTGTCCAGGTGTTAGGTTTTCCTTACGCTATTGTTTAACTGTCTCTGCCACTGTCTGGAACTGACTTGTCAGAGCACATCCAGGTTTCTTCTCTTCCTTCCCTCTTTCCAGAGGATGGGGAATTATTCCTCGGGGTATAAGTTTCTCTTTACTGCTCTAGGCTCAATCATAGTGATTCCGCATTACTGCTATGAAACGTGGTTCGTGCATGGCTCTCGCCAATTTCAACTCAAGGAATATTATCTATTAGGGTGATTATTTAGGGCTCTGAATCTTGTCAGATGAACTTGAGTCTGACACTCAGCCTATCACCTAATAGCCCTGTGACATTGGACAAGTTAAATTTCCTAAGCATCTGTTTGTTTCTCCGAACAACACAGATAGAGATTTCCTCAAGGAAGTGTTCTGTGGGGACTAGAGTAGATAATGAATTTACATAGAGCCTGGTGTATGGTGAGTTGTTTTGATTATTACCTCATGGAAATCATTATGCCTATGGGGAGAAACAGAGATGACTAAGAAATGCCTTAATTTCCTCAACTTGGAGCGAATGAGACAGATAACCAAAATACAGCACCACGTACGAGAGGACTGACAGGTCATGTATCCCCTTAAGAGACTGTGAGGTGTTCAGAGACCTGCCACTTCATTTTATAAACAAGGAAACAGAGACCAGCATGACTGTATGACTTGTGTAAGGGGATGTGCCCAGTGAGTGGCAGAGCCACGATGGGGACTCACATCTGCTGTCCCTGAGCCAGGACTGCTGGGGTGTGCCATCACTTCCAGTGGACACGTCTCAGGGAAGCCTCGGGCCTGTGACCTTGCTGTCTCCCAGGCCAGTGCAAAATGCTGCAGCCTCCACAGTCCAGGGCCCCCACTGTCCTGACCTCCAGAAGCTTTTGGGTGAGGGCTCATCACTCAGCCAGGAGATGTCATTCTTTGTCTTACAAGTGACTTCTTTATGTGAACATTATTTCTCCTGAAGACCGGCCCACAAACCAGCAACCCATTAGACACAAAGATTCATGACTACACCGGACAAACTTTTACTGGGGGTCAGAAAGTTGTAGGTGGTCCTGCGTAAGGCACCGAGGAGACAGAGGGAACCTCCTTGAGGAATCCATAGACATTGCATCATATGACGAGCAAGGTGCTGCAAGAGCCAGGAACAGAGGGAGGAATGTTTTCTAGGCTAGGAGGTCTCAGAGTCAGAATATTTTTCACCAAAAAATGTCCTTTGTGAAGTGGATCTTGAAAAATGGAGAAGTGATTGGTAGGTGGGGAGTGGGGAGGGGAATCCAGCAAGAGAGGAGCGCACAGCCGATGGCAGGGGACTGTACCAATGCTCAGTGGTGCTTAGAAGGCGCGGGGAATGAGTGGAAGGAGGGTTGTGGGGGGTGAGGTGGAGAGGAGGGCAAGAGTTCAGTGGAGAGGGGATTCGAGGCCTCCAGCTCTGTGGCTGGACGGAGGAGGTGATCACTTCTTAATCCTAAGTTTCAGGGTCTGCAAGATTGCTCCTGGGCACTTGGAGGGCAAAACAGCAAGGCCCCTGCCTTAGGGGCCCAAGGGGTTTTGATCCCAAATTGAATGGGTCACCAGGGCCTGAGTGTGTGGGCTTTGGACACACCGCCCCAGAAAACTTGCAGATTGGTGCAGCCTGGAGCCTAAGCGCCCCATCACTAGCAGGTTGGAAAGCCTCCCCTTTTCCTTTGAGGAGCTTCCTGCCAAGCAGAGAAGCCCTGTTCACACTGCGCCTACGAGTCCCCTCTGAGACGCCAACTCCAGGGAGAGCATGGGCGTCTTTCTCCTTTCTCAGTGGGCGTCTCGACCGTCCGAATCGGTACCCCCCATATTTAAGGCATGAGTAAGCCTTGCCATTTTGGTGGTGGCTGGGGGCAACGGGAGGGGCCGTTGTGTTTTAAAATGGAATAAACAGAAAAGCAATATTAAGAGATGAGGAGGTTGTTTAGTGAGGCTTGAAGAGATGACAGGTGTTTCCTCCTGGGTTGAGAATCAGTGACCCCTGGGAATTGCATTTCCCGTTCAGCAGGCGCCCATGGCGGGCTCAGTCCTGCCAGCATCCTGGCGGTGTGGAAGCCTGAATGGGCATCAGAGAAAACCCTGTGTTTTTCCAGAGGGTCTTTGGAGCTCATCACTGGTGCGAGGGGGTCCCGTGCTTGGCCTGGCCCTCACACCATTTGCACTCATCATGGCTACACAAACACACACACACACACACACAGCACAGCACATTACACTCTGTGGCTGTGTGCAAGCAGCCATGGCCTCCGTGCTGGGTTTAGTCCCAGCTGGCTGGCTGTGTGCGTGCAGCGCTCTGCAGCTGGTGGGCCTCAGAGGGTGCGCACAGTGGGGTGACAGGCAGCACTGCAGAGGACACAGCGCACCCGTGCCTGAGGTGGGAGGATGTGATGACGCAGCCCCACGCAGCGGGAACTTGGGCCTTTAAAAAGCCCAGGAAACAGCCTCAGAGCAAGCGGTGGCTCCACTGGAGGAAAGCACACCCAGGTCTCACATTAAAGAAGCCAAACTGTCTGCTTCAAAGAGAAAAGGCAACATCCTGTCGCAGGCCATGCTCTGGCAAAAACGTAAGTGGTTTTTGGCTGTGGCTGTCAGAGCCAAGTAAGCCGAGGAGATCCCCAGTCGGCCTGGAATAGGGGAGCTGGTGGTGCCGGGGCGGGGGTGGGGGGGGGGTCGGCATCTGCTTGCAGGCCCGAGGAGTGGGAAGGGCAGAGTGGGCAGGATGGAGCCTGATGGAGAAACCAACCTGTCAGAGGTGATGCTGAGTTTCCAGGCTCGAGGGGAAAGATCGAGCGTCCCAAGGAGGGACAGCTCATCGTGTCCCCGCTTCTGGGCATGAATCACTGTGGTGAAGAAAGGGCAGCTTATGATTCACAAGACCAAACTCAGCCGCGATCGGGGTTTGGGGCTGAGAGGGGAAAGTGGTGCCGTTGACATGAGAGGCGTCGGTCGTGGCAGCAGCCACTCTTTAGCCTGTTGTTGAGATCATGGATCTTGCTAGCCGGCTCAGTGAGCTTTGTTTCTGAGGATGCCTTGGGATGCGGTGGAAACTGGGTTTTGTGAAGCCTTCCTGTCATTCTTTTTCCTACTCCGTGGCAAGGCAAGGGGGTGGAGGGTTAAGCTTTGACCTTGCTTTCTATCCCTGGAGTTGGGTGGAACAACTGTGAACTTGATTTTCCGTTATGTGGATTGAACGGAGACTTGTGTTATTCATAGTTGAAGCCATGCAGAGATTATCTACAGAGTTCCTTTCACGAGGTAAACAAAGTCAACTCAACGCTCACGAGAGTTGAGCCTTATCGGGACTTAGTTTTGTAGTTCCCCCAGCAAGAAATATTACCAAAAGAAACCCTGCTCTTGTTTTAAAAAGGTGCTTTAAAATGACTTAATGAACTCAAGTACACTCTACCTCAAGCAAGCTTAATACAAGAAAATCTATATTTACAGAAAAGGATAAATTAGAGAGTGTTTATTTTATGAATAGATGATCTTCAAAGTTCTGAAAATACACCTTCACTGATTAAAATGTGACTTGCCATCTCTGTATCACTAATTTCTTGTTTCCTTTGTTTTTTGTGTAAATTCTCTGGGATTGGGTTTGTTAACATACAATGTGGAGGAGTGATTTCAAAATTTCTCAGATTGAGGAGTGTGATATTGTTTGATATCAGCAAGATGCTTTAAAAAAAAAAGGCATGCACTTAAGTTTGGGTCTGAGAGCAGTGGATTCCTTCCAAGATAAGGAGGAATATTCTAGTATGGGTGCTGTGCAGCTCTTGTCAGCAGGAAGAGGGAACAAGACCCTACCCTTGGTGGGGAGGGGGAGCAATGTGGATGAGAGTGGGTGGGCATTGATGTCTTTACTGGGGGCTTCTGAGCGTCTATGGGCCCTTTCACTTGCAGCTGAATCGTCTGGGGTTTGTGTGGGCCCCTAGAGGGAATTCTGCCTAAGTGCCCAGCTTCTATGGGCAAGTCACTCTGCTTTTCTTCAGTCCTTAGGTTTCTCATGTGTAAAATGGGGTAAAAACAATATTCTGGAGAGGGACCCTTAGTAAGTACATGCAGGTGCCACTGAAATGCTATTGACTGCATTGGTTCTGCCCCGGCATCTGCGATGGGGGTTGCACCCCTGCACACATGAGCTGCTGTATTCCTCCTCCTTGGTTATGCAGTACATTTTCCCTCCTTTAATGCTTTTGAAGAGATGAGTGGTATCTTTTTGAAAGGAGATGCTTGAGGGCATGCTTTCTGCTCACACCCTGGAGGCCAGCCAGGTACACAAAACTCCACCGTATGGGAGACCACACTGTAAGCTCATCAAGGAATAATTGGGGTGAACATTTCCACATGTTCAGATGAACACACGACTACATTCTCTTCTATGCCCTTTGGAGCCTTAAAGAAACTTCAAAAAGGCCCTGGGCATCTCTTCCAAGACTCTGGACCCAAGCTGTGTGGCACTGAGGGCACCTGAGTGATTGAACTCTGTGGGAAAACCAGTGAAAACAGGACTGCATCATCAGCCTGCCTACTTAACATCACCCATGGAAGGGCAGGGTTTGAAATCAGACACGAAGAGTGCTGAAAAGGCACTTTCTTTTTTCAGAAAACACCCTCGAGGCATGAGCTGAAATGACTGTACTCTGGGGTTCTGGAAAGGGTTAAGAAAACATTGACTTTGTAAATGTTGCCTCCTCCCTATCTGGCCCATGACCCTCCTTTGTGGACTGCATATGAGTACTGGCTTTGGTTAAATTCAGAGAATAGCGTGACAAAGGTCAGAACCGCTGGTGCAGAAAAGTAGAAATCTTTAAGCCCCAACCATGGATTCGAGATTTGCTTGACTGGTCAATTGGATCAAGAAGGCACTCCACCTGCAGATCCTCTCCCTGGCTTCTGCACCTGGTCTTGCCTGTGCCATGTAGATGAGAACTGACATCCACCCAGGTAGTAGCAGAGCAGTAGGGAACAGCAGGAGTGTTGGATGGGACAGGTTTAAAGGTGGGCTCTGCAGCTTCAGGACTTCACCTCCTCACATTCTTTAAAACGTGGAAAATAGGGAGTCTGTCGTTCTCTTGTGAGAACTAAAGAAGAGAATGCAAGGGAAGTGATGTCAAGTTTGCTGGCCAGTTAGCACCTTTCCTCTTCAACACCTCCTCCAAGCCCATGTTGAGTGGCAATGGTCGTGCCAAGTTCCCTCCTGTGTATCCTTTTCAACACTTCGATAGAATAGTGAAAAAGCCACAGTCAGAATGTTCCTGGATGCTAAGGTCTAGCAGAGTTTTCCAAGGGTCTCACACAGGGGTCTGCAAATATGGCCTGTGAGCCAAATCAGGCCTGCCACCTGCATTTATAAATAAAGTTTTATTAGAATACAGCATGTCTATCAGTTTGCATTTGGTCTCGGACTGCTTTTGCAACAAAAGCAGAGTTGAGTAGTTGTGACAGAGACTGTATGGTACAGAAAGGCTAAAATATTTAGTATCTGGCTCTTTGTAGGAAAAGTTTGCTGAACCTCTGGCCGGTACTTTAGGTATTCATTTCCTTAGGTTACTTGGGCTGCTGGGGTTGCACATTGCAGAGAAAGCTTGCAACCAACTCATTAAGTACTTTGTACGATGCCCAACATTGATTTAAGTGTTGGGATTGAGTTGTTAACATACAATACGGAGGAGTGATTTCAAAATTTCTCAGATTGAAGGGTGTGATGTTGTTTGTTATTTAAATGAACTTCTCCCTGAAAAGCAATGGGATAGTGTATGATAAACTTAGCACTATTAGTTAGAAAGTCAATGAGTTGGACAACTGCATTTTATTTTGTCCATATTAGGGAAAGATCTACATCGTAATAATAGGCAATCTTGACTGATTTTCTTCGAGTTGGTGGTGTATCATAGTGTCCCATAGACTCAGCCTTGGTGTATATCTATTATACTGCCCAAGGAGGCATTTGAGGAATAGGAGATAGTTTTATTAAATTTATGTGGCACAATATGCCTTTGCTTTCAGACAATTTGTACAGAGTAGAGGTTTTAGCAATTAAATAAATTAGGGTCCCAAAATCTCATAAATATAGAACTTTGCTTTTAGGATTTACTCCATGATCCCACTAAAGGGAAATGAGGAAAACATGCAATATGCACACGATTTTTGGAACCTTATCTCCTGCATATATTTAGGCACACTTATAACAAAAAGTAAATAAGTCTGTAGACAACCCCTAATGTTTCTAATCTGTGTTGCAACCTTTGCTTATTTAATGAACCTAATAAACACCCCTATTTCTTGCCAAGTTTAACTGTTGATTCAGAAGTTCTTTCTATGGAAAACAAGTAGAATCCAAAAGAGAGACACATTCACACTCCCTTCTGCAGGTGAAATAAGAGACACATCTACCAAGCACACAGATTTAACTGGTGAAAGAGCAAATGCTTTTCATGGTGGACACTTTGCTTCCTTCTCCCTATATTTATCAAAGAAAAATGCCAAATTGATTCTCCTTACACCCCACAAAGTTACCGAGTCCGAAGTTTTGAAAGCTGTCTCCCAAGTCACACCTGCAAACTTCTTCTTTTGTGAGAAACAAAACAGAGTCAAGGTTGTCTATACTTGTTCCCTAAATGGATGGGCACTTCATTAATTAAGAAGTCCTATAAATGCTTGCATTTAACTTTATCATTGCAAAGTATGTATATCAAGATTTTCTTCCCAAGACTTATTTCTAAAGTCATTTATTTCCCCACTGAAGGAAAATGTCCACCAACTTCTCATTCTTAGCTAACCATAGCAAGATGGCTAATTGATTGGGATCACTAAATATACTTTTCACCTTTATAAGATATTTAGCAACACCCTAATTCTCAGGTTTTCATAGAACATCTGTTTGATCGGAGTGGGCCTCCTTGGGGTGGAGGAGCCGTCTCTGGAACCTTCTTGCTCTGGTGTGTGAATCTGTGGACAGGCATTGTTCTGCTTTTCAGTCTACAAATTATTAGGTTATTAGCCAACTAACCACTTTAGGTCTCTGATGTTCAAGCTGTGATATGAAACTTGCCCTTTTCTGGCCAAGGGCAAGGGGAATGAACTCGATTGAGGTTCTTTTCCCAGTCTAACTGCTGAGTTTTCCTGATTATAAAAAATAAAAAGCTATTTTAAACCATGAGTCCTAACAATTTTATAGAAGGGATTATTTTTTTTTTAATATTGATTTATTTATTTGAAAGCAGAGTTACAGAGACAGAGACAGAGACACAGAGATCTTCCATCTGCTGATTCATCCCCAAATGGCTGCAACAACTGCAGCTGGGCAAGGCCAAAGCCAGGAGCCTGGAGCTTCCTCTGGGTCTCCCATGTGAGTGCAGGGGCCCAAGGACTTGGGCCATCCTCTGCTGCTTTCCCAGGCCATTAGCAGGGAGCTGGATATGAAGTGGAGCAGCTGGGAATAGAACCAGTGCCTGTACAGGATGCTGGAGCTGCAGCCTGTGCCTTAGCCCATGCGCCAGCTCGCCGACCCCTAGAAGGGATTCATACGTCTACTTAGAGCTGACTTTTTAAACCTTGGCTACAC